CGACAATACTAGGGCTGCGTTGACAGAAGGATGGTGTGGCCCTCTAGTCTGACACCCGCCCACCCCTGGATATAGGAAGCCGCTGGAGCGTTCTCAAACAGCTCTCCGAAGGAAGACCCTTGAGGAGGAGGGTCGTCACAGCCCACCGGGAAGGTGGTTCCAGTCCAGGGGAAGGTAAGGCTGGCTGAGCTCTGAGCGAGAGCTGAGGTAGGATCTGGAGATGATGACAGAAAGACTACCTTACCCATGACCCACAAGGTGGACAGCCAGCAGCCCAAGAGATCACATCAGTTGGCACAAAATTGCATGTGCTGATTTATACATAAAGATGCGACATTAGACCTTTTAGACTGATCTTCCTCATGTTGCATTTATAATTTAAGAAGAGGAGGAAAGCGTGGCCAGGGGTCGTCTTGCTGCGGCTCACGGAGGATGATGGGCCCCCTCAGGATCCCCCAATTCTTCTTGTGGTCCTTTATCTTGAATTCAGATTTGGACCGGACAGGCATTTCCAAGGAAGATGCCTTCAAATGTGCTGTGGCAAGTTCTTTGGGGAAGAAAAGTCTTGTCCTCGATGAAAGGCGGCCATGGGAGAATCCTAGGTGGCTGACAAGATGCTTAGGTCAATTCCCAGTATGTTCTGTATTTCATCCTGTCCTCACCTGGCCTTCTACAGTGCCTATAGGGTCTACCTGACATTCTGCATGCCATTTCATGCATTTAATAAATCATGTGCTGTCAACTTAGTTCTGATTTATGGCGACCCCTTTCAGGGTTCTCCAGGTAGAGAAGATTCAAAAGTGCATTACCCTTCCCTTCCACTAGGGGCACCGTGGGATGGTGCAGCTAGCCCAAGGCCACCCAGGCTGGTTTTATTCCCAGGAAGCCCAGCCGGAAATCGAACTCCCAGCTTCTGGCTCCATAGCCAGAGACCCAACTCATCTGAGCTATCCAGCCAGCTACATTTCATAAAGTGGGGGTGTAATCCCTAAAAATCCATGCTACATTAATTTTTTGTTAATTATCCAGAAAATGGACCACATGTGGAATGGAAGGAGGGGAATCTTGGATGTGAACTGCCTGATACTGCATCATCATGTCGGCGTTCCTCTTCTTCCATTTTGTTCAGATTTACCTGTCTACAAAAAATCGGGAAACTGCTGCAGCGCTAGGGCACTGCAATTTAACTTCAGATAGAAAGAGCCAGCCCGTCACTAGAAGGGCTGTCTCTAATCCCTTCTGAAGTCTAACTTTCCAGGGAGGAAACAGACATGATCCACCGCCTGTCAGCACAGCTGAAACCAGATTAGTGCGGGGACCTATGTGAGATTCAGGAAATGGGTCTGCAGTGGGCGAGATCGGCTTTCAAAGGAATCCCACCCTCACGCCCTGGGGATGAATCACAACACAAAGCCAGCCAGCTTGCAAAGGAGTGGAGGTGGGAGAAGTTAAAGAATTTCTTCTTCCATCCTTATCTATAACATCCATTTCTGGCCTCGAGCACAAAAAGGCTGCCTCAGTCATGTATCTCCTATAGGACACCCCACTGCGCTTGAATGGCAGGGGCTACCTCTCGTGTCTGTTTCTGGCCCTTTGGGACTTCACGGGGCAGATTTCGTGAACCCACCCAAAGGCTTGCTGCCCAGAACAGAGTCTCGCTGGAGCTACTGGCGTTCCTTGTTCCCGAGATCCACAGAGATAGTGGAAAGGGGTGAGCTGCCCCATCCTCTGAGCTTAATTGCAGGATGATGCAGGAGATGATGGGGATGAGAAACCCGGCATTAGCATGTGGCAGAGGCCCGGAATGCTCACGGCCAACCGGTTGGACCAGGCTGCCTGCATTCCCCATGACTTACTCCCCTTCTCTTCCGAAGCACCATCCGAAAATAACATCTGGGACTGCGGTTACGTTTGTGCAAGTTTGGCCAGCTCTGTCTTTGGGCGGTTGCACACTTCAAACGGATTGGAAGACGCTCCCTGCCGGAAGAGCAATCCACTCCGAAGCTGGGTTAAAAGATCAAGAACTCTCCTTGAGGTGGCCTGTCATCCCCTCTGAACAGGACTGGGACAGGAGATTCGGCAGGCAGTGCGCAGGCCACCTGCGTAGAGTCTCAGCGTTTGTGAACATCACGGCATCGGTGTGTGTGAGTGAGCAGGTGCGTGTTTTCAGAGTCTGGCCCTCGACTGCCCTGCAAGATTGCTATGAGCAGTTCTACTTCCTTGTGCTTCCCATTTTCCTGTTAGGATAAAGACGAGGCACTGAGTACAAAGGAGACCGCCCATTACAGTCAAGTGGCATTCACTTCCTTGTGTGAGTTCACACACATGTCCTAGAAAACCGCTGTGGTTGTTCAGGGCTACCAGGCGGCTTCCGGTTGTGGAGACTCAGTGCCTTCGTGACCCTCCAAAGACCCTCAAGGCGAAGCGCTGGGCTTCCTTTACTGAGCCAACCCACCACCACCTCCTCCTCCTCCTCAGTTCTCTGCTCCTTTTCTGCTGTCTTCCATTTTTCCCAGCACTATTGAAGAGAAAAGCATACAAACAGCCAGAAATAATGGGTGGTTCCCCCCCCCTCTGGGTTTGCATGCCAAAGTTAATGATCTTAGCTAGGTTTGAGAAACATGAAAATAAAGAGTTACTTATGTAAAGCATAATGTATAGAAAGTAACTTTGTGCTCTCGGACCAGCCAGCAACTTCTTTGAATCTCACCCGTAAGAGCCCTCCCGTTCGAGTTTGTTCAACTGGTCCTTCGTTTGTTGGCCCCTGGTCCTTACACCTGAAGTTTTGAACTACTCAACATGTCTGATCGTCACAGAAAACAAAGCCGCTGCTGCCCGATCCTCTTTGAAAGCCACCTAAGCCACGTCTTGTGGAAGTAAATTCCACGAACGAGTGAGGTGTTTTGCAAACATGGGTTGCTGAGCTGTCCCTGTTGACTAGCAATTGCTTCTGGTGGGAGACTTTGAGTTGAGTAAGGAAGAAGACCCCGGTTTGTTCCAGCAGGGGCCTGACTTGACCAGCGTCCAGCCTTCCACAGTGGCCACCCAGATCCCCCAGGAAGCCCACAATCAAGCAACAAGTACCATTGCGCCCTCCCGTGCTTGTTTTCCCAGCGAAGAGTGTTAGGAAGAATCCTCCTCCTGGCATTGGAGGTCATATCTAGCCACCAGTAGGAGCAGCTGCTGAAAAGCCATCTCTTCAACGATCGTTTAAATTAAAGCTTCCCAGGCCAGGTGAGTTTCAGGTGGGAGCTCATTCCAAAGACAAGGGGCCCCTGGCAGGTTCCCGCCCTGCCTAGGAAGAACGTGTGTATAATGGGCAGATCTCGTTGGAAGCAGGCATTCTGCCAGGTATCGAGGTCCCAAACCATTTTTGGGCTTTGTAAGTCATCCTCCTTCTCCTCACCTCGAAGCTGGCACAGAAACAAACAGGTCACCAGTACAAGGTGGCCAGAGCGGGGGAGATGTGATAGTATTACTTCACCCCACCTGGCCACATGTTCTGGACCTGCTAAAGTTTCTTTTACAGCCTCAAGAGAAGCCCCATGTAGAGAGCATTACAGTAGTCTAATTTCGAGATGACCAGTGCATGGACCAGCATGGTGAGGGACCCGCTGTCAAGGCAGGGCAATCCACTAAAATGGAAGAAGGCAGAACGGACCACAGACGCTACCTGGGATTCCATGGATGGCGCTGGGTTGAGAAGATTGTCCAGACTGTGAAGTAGCCCCCCCCAAATGAGAGGGAGCTCCCCAATCCTGAGACACTAGGGGTGCCGACTTGCAGGATTTCTATCTTGCCCGGGTTCAGCCTCAGTCTATTATTCCTCATCCATCCCAGCACGGCGTCCAGGCAACGCTCAAGGGACGGAACAGCATCCTCTGTGGAGGGATGGAAGGAGAGATGGAGGTGGGCGTCATCCACGTATCGGTGAGACAAAGCTCCAAAACTCCTGATGTCCTCCCCCAGCGGCCTCATAGAGATATTAAACAACATTGAGGAGATGATTGAACCCTGTGGGACTCCATAATTGAGAGTCCAAGGGGTGGACCTTATCTCCCTGAGCTGTACTCTCTGAGGACGGCCCTCCAGGAAGGACCGGAGCCAGGACAAGAAGGACCGGAGCCAGGACAAGGCCAGGACTCTGATTCCTTAACCCCGAGAGCCTCCCCAGGAGGAGGATACGGTGGTCCGTGGTCTTGAAGGCCGCTGAGCGATTGAGGAGGACCAGCAAGGACATTTGGCCCGTGTCCATCTCTCTCAAGAGGTCATCTTGCAGGGTGACCCATGCCATCTCTTTGCCATGGCATGGCCTGAACCCAGACTGGAATGGGTCAAGGCGGGCATCGGTCTCCTCCAGGGGTGCCCTGCAGCTGGTCAGCCCTCACTCTCTCCACGACCTTGCTAAGAGAAGGCACGTTGGCGACGGGTCTATTATTGTTCATGTCATCCACGGCCAAGAGATGCCAAGGGTTCAAGGTTCCCCTCTGGGAGAGAACCAGGTCAATGATGGTGGGTTCCTAAAGTCTGGGATGATGAGAAAATGAACACAAAGGGGATATAAGAGGGTTTGAATTTTTAAGCCCATGTTCAACTGTGGCATTTAGAAGAAAACCAGACAAAATTATAACTATGCACAGGGCGTGCTGCTTATGGACCACTCCACAGCGCTTAGTGGTCTCTGGGCAGTTTAGAACTTAATGATGCCGGCTACACATTGCCGCCCCCCCATCCCCACCAATGAGCCGGTCACTCCATTCACCGACCTCAGAAAGATAAAAGGCTGTGTGAACCTCGAGATGGCGACCAGGGATTGAAACCAGGGATCGTGAGCAGAGTTTTGGCTGCAGCGCTGCAGTTGAACCACTGTGTCCTAAGGCTCTTTTATGGTCCCACACGGTTGCTTTTCACCATTCCTTCTGAAGGCGCATGCATGTATAAAAAATAAGCTTCGAACCAGAGATGTCTTTTCTTTAAAAAAAAGTTACATTTATTGAAAACAGTCCACAGTTTATACAATGTCCACATAGAAAAGTCATGCCCCTCCCCCAACCCCAGAATTATAGGTATATCCAAAGCCCTTGATGACTGCGTTAATAAACATGATTATATATACTGATCCACGTTGGAGTGTACGTTTCTCTAGAACTGCCCGTGCACTGGGTAGGTGATACCTTTATTAGACCACCGAAACACACACACACACACATAGACACACACACTCCTCGCTTACAACCGACAATCCTCTTCCTCAGGTTGGCCCTCTCTGGGGTGTGGATGGTGCAGAGATTAAGTTCCAAAAATGCAGGGCACAAGCACAAATTTTGGGATTCCGTTTTGAGAAGCAGACTTGGCACAAACATCTGCCGCAACTGTCAAACTTCCACATTTTCCTACTTTGGGTTCTTTATGGGCGACACGGATCATGTTCTTTTTTTCCTGCACGCTGTAGAGTTCACATTTCGTAGCGTGTCCCCTTAAGTGGAGGCAACCTCGGGGTCTTCGCCTTATTTGACTATCCTAATTTAACCCCATTCACACTGACAGGTTGGCGGGGGGGGGACTACTAAAACCACCTGGCCATCATGATTAGGTGGATTATGGGATCTGCAATCCAAAACAATGCCTTTTCCAGCCTCTGGTTGAGACGACCCATTTTCCTCAAAGCCCTCCAGAGCGTGCCACAGAGGTGAGTGGAGGTGGAATTTGAACACAGATCAGAGCTGAAATAAAATTTGACTCTCTCCCCACACACACACACACCCTATTTCTTTCTCTCTTTTTTTCCCCTAGCAACCCTCAGGGCCAGCCTGGCCATCGGTTATGGTGTGGTGTTGCACTGGTCTCAGATGACAGATAGTAGGCATTGATCTGGCGATTCAGCCACGTTGTTGCTCTTGATCCCTTAATGATTCTCATTCCTAGCAGAGATGATTGATTCCACTGTCCTGGTGAGATCTGCCATGCCTCCTGACCCCAGTGGGTAGAATAATCCACGTCGCCCTCTGTGCTACTATGCCGATTTTGGAAATCAGGAAGATGACGGCACACTGGGCCATGTGGGATTATACCACTCTTTGGTGGCCAGTGTGTGTGTGTGGCAAACCTCAGCCCATAGCTAGTCAGAGCCCCTCCTGCTCCCATGGCTAATCCCAGACACTGGGTGGCCCGTGCGCTGCTTGTCGGCTGGTCTAGCTCAGTGGGTTGGAGTCCCTGGCTGTGGAGCCAGGAGATCTGGAGTCTGTGCCTCCTGGGATTGAGGGGGAGGCAGTCAAAATCACTCACAGCCGGTGGGGCAAGATGGGGTTCAGGGCCTCGGCACATGCGTGCGGCCTTGGGCAAGCTGCCCTTTGCTTCCAGAACACCACCAGAGTGAGCAAGTGGGAAACCACGCCTGAACAGGAAACCCTGGGAGGAGTTGTTGTACATCGTCAGAATAGGTTTGACAGCATCGAATGCTTAGTGATTGATTTGCCTGTGAAGAGAAGGAGGACAAGCAGAAACTCCGGTGCGATTCACACATTCAAAAGGGATGGGTCGCCCAGATTTTTCTTCAGGATTTTGGAACATCTGGCCCCTCCCGGGCTCCCTTGGTTTCCTTCTGTTGCCTTGATCCAGAGATCTCTCCGACGGGACCGAGGGGCAGGGAGCGTGGGAGCAGGGGCTGGAGCCGGCTTGACTGCCCAAACACAGTAGGAGAAGAGACAGAGAAGCACCAGCCCACGGAGGGCGGCCACCTCTCTTCTGCTCCCCAAGAAGAGAAACACACCTTCCCTACCAGGTCAGCTCTTCTGCTCCATTTGGTTGTGAACATTTACATTTGGGAGGGGGGGGCTGGGTTTTCCCATCCATTGGAAGGGCAACGGACAAGGTGCCCGTCCAGGAATAGAAACCGTGCATGTATATATTCCATATGCCTATATACGTTTACTTTTACAGAAGAGAGGGCCATGCACCTGCCACAACAGCGGTGCGCTTGGCTCTCGGAAAGACAGTGGTAAGGCAATGTTCTTTAGCATCTCTCAGTGCCAAGGTGGTGTTCTCCATGGCCGGCCGGGTATTATACGTAATCCTTCCCGGCGGAGGGGGCACTCTTGGGGTACGGCCGAGACGAGGGGTAGGACGTTTCCTTCCGGGGACAAGAGCAGCAGAGGAAGGCTCCACCCAGCAGGACGAGGGAAGCAGCCGCCCAGCCGATGAAGAGAGCTTGTCCAAATTCAAACCTGTGTGCGGGGAGAGGAAGTCAACAACAGTTCCCCATGAACGGCCGGTCGCAAGGAACAACCCCTCAATAACACCAGCATCATCATGAAGTATTCTCTCCCAGTCCCGCGAGGTGCTGGTCCCCCTCTATTCACCCCTGGTTGGTCCTCACCTTGAGTCTTGTGTCCAGTTCTGGACACTGCACTTCAAGAAGGATGCTGACAAATAGGAGCAAGTTCAGGGGAGGGCAACAAGGCAAATACTTTTTGAAAAACTTGAAAGGCTCAAGAGAGGGACAGGAACTGTTCTCCATCCTCCCAGAGTGCAGGAGATGCCACCATGGGCTCAAGTTACAGGAAGCCAGATTTCGGTTGAATAGCAGAAAAAACTTCCTAACTGTTAGAGCAGTACAACAGTGGAACCCGTGACCTCAGAGGGGGTGAGCGAGCGCTCCGATGCTAGAGGCCTTCAAGAGAAATTTTAGACAACCACCTGGCAGATCTCCTTTGATCTGGATTCCTGCCTTGAGCAGCGGGGTGGACTCGATGGCCTTATAGGCCCCCTTGCAACTTTCTTATTCTATGATTCTATTAATTCTGTTTATATTTCCTGCTTGTCTCCCTTGTCAAGTCAGTAGACCTCTAGTCGTGATGCTAAAAAAGAAAAAAGAAAAGAAAAGAAAAGAAAAGAAAAGAAAAGAAAAGGAAGGAAGGAAGGAAGGAAGGAAGGAAGGAAGGAAGGAAGGAAGGAAGGAAGGAAGGAAGGGGAAGGAAGGAAGGAAGGAAGGAAAACCCTGAACATATGGAAGGCGTGAGGGAGTCTCAGGATGTAAAGACAAAGGTTTATGCATCAAAACAGGCCGACTGATTTTGGACAACCAATTGTTCTGTGGCGTCCTTTGGGCGTTATGAACAAAAGGCCAATGCAGTAATTATTACGTACTTAAGACCCATTAAATAAAATCTTTTCAATGTCAGCAGTGGTGAAGGTATCTTAGCTTATGATCTGTTCTGTTGGAATCGGCTTATAGTAACTCTACAGAAAAACCTGCATTTTTCATTGATTTGTGTTTGTGTGTGTTTAATTGCAAATGCTCTTAAATGCATGGCTATCTTTTTGTTGTTAAATATTACCTTCTTCGCATGACCAGATAAATCTCTGGTGTATGTCTTATGTGTGCCTTCAGGGGGTCAGCTTTTTGTCCTACAGATTCTAGAGG